TGTCATTGTTTGGTGATGTTGTACCCTTTTAGACTGGTTATATATATATATATATATATAAAACGTCTGAATAATAGTCAACGATTTTTCCAACGAGGGCGCTGGATCGTTACGAGTAACGATACTGTACACAATAAATAAATTGTATCAACGCCTAAAAAGTGTACACAACAACACCAATAACAAAAAAAAGGAACTATAAATGTAATTATTTATAAATATTTCGGATAACAGATATCCTTCATCAGTAAATATGATTGTGATGTTGAATGAATCATATATCAGTCTACTTAGATTAAACTATAACAATCTTGAAATTTATACAATAAAAAAGTCCAACCGAACATCAGGTAAGACGCTTGCACAATTCTAAATATGTGTTAAACACGACATAGGTTATATGACTAGTTATATTTTTTTTACAACAGAGAGTTCAAATATATGCTTTGAATAAAAATAATAATGTGCGATATGAACTAGCACAATTCTAAAGCTTTAATGTTAGATCTGTAAATTTGCGGGATTCAAACTCATGCTACAGAGATATCGTGGCGCCAAATCGCCTTGCACTATTCCCGGCGCGCTAGACCACTCGACCATTTAGGCTCGATGCAAATCCAGCTTTCGGTGGCCGGGTGTTACCTTTCCTCGTCAGTTTTTAGCGTCGTAACACAGTACATGCACAATGCATGAAGATGGAATAGTACAGATCAGCTGAATTATCTATCGTAGAGGATCGTACAAATTAATGTAGGATACAGTCACAGAAATAATTATATTATAATATATAAGTACGTCAGAACCAGTGACAACTTTACGGCATATTTTATACATCGGATCACTAGTGATGGTGATACAGGTGTGAAAACACATTTTGTATATATAATTCGTCTAAATAACAGCCCAACAATGTTAGATCTGTAAATTTGCGGAAGTAAATTTTTGTTCTTCCCTGGCCGTGATTCGAACTTGTGCTACAGAGATATCGTGGCACGCTAGAACACTCGATAACAATCAAGCTTTCGGTGGCCGGGTGTTACCTTTCCTCGTCCGTTTTTATCTAGCGTCGTAACACAGTACATGATATATAAGGCCAGAGAAGAACAAAACATTTGCTTTCATAAATTTACAGATCTAATATTGTTGGGCTGTTATTTAGACGAATTGTATATACTAATATATAGATCAATGTTAAAATAAACTTTTTCACTTTTTTGGTCTTTTAGAAAATGTTGTTTGTGCTGTATTTAGACCCCTCTAACAAGAAATTTGTTTTGCATGCACACGTATAAAAATTGCGGTTTTTATCAAACGCAATCATAGGTTTGAACATTGCTTTTAATTTAGACTTGTTTATATTTTTTCGTTTGGGCTTGTATTATATTTGCCTTCGGGTTTATATGATCCGTTCATCCTATTTTGACTCCTCAAATTCAAGAGTCTATCCTAAATTGAGGTAAATTGTATGGCTTTCCAAATACCGTTTCGATTCCTAACATCACTGAAGACACATTAATTGTCGAAATCCGGATATGGTGTACAACAATCTTTCAATACATTTTATACCCGTTTCTTCATTGAAGCACTAATCTAAAAATATTTATTTTCATTCGAAATGGGGATATTAAATTAGTACATGTAGTAGGTGACCCAATGATTTCTTTTCCTATCCTACACATCATCCTTTCCCAGTGGCAACCTCAATTTTCAGCCATTCATCACAGATCTTTTACTTTGTAGGACCCACTGAGCAACAGATTTATTGCACATTACATTTTCAGACTTCCTTAATATTGCATGAAATACTTGCCCCAGGACGTTGAGAAGAGAACAATTTATCAATCAACAGATTTTAAAAGATATTTCGTGTATGCCAATTACAGTTTGTACTTCATCATAGAAAATGAAAATGAATTTTTATTGATTCAGGTTCACTTGTAGACAATAGAAATTAATTTTAGAGAATTTCTTTCCTCGTTTTTCTGGGTTTTTTTTAAATTCGTATTTTCAAACATTTCTCTAAAATTTTGAGCAATAAGTGGTCAACAATATATTAATAAACATGATTAAAAAATAAACAAAATGAATATGGAAAATATCGTCTATAAACATTATTTTATCGCCTACCGTAACAAGGCTTGGAATGAAAATTTTAATCTGACACGTTTGATACTTTACAACAAGAAGTAGTTCATAGAATCGGCTGCTCAGAGTTTTTATTTATTTTTATTTGTACACGCATTGTTTTTATTTTTATTTTCATTGGGTGCCGTTGTTTTGTTTATATAATTATTTGAGAGATTTTTTTACGGTATTTATCAATTATAACAAGGTTTACTAAGCTAATCGGATAACAAGGATAAATATATTTTAGTATTTTAGAGGTGGTTAAGAATCAGTTATGCATTTCACTTGACAAAGATAAAACAAAAGCGCTTATAAAGCTAGTAGCAATGGGTATATTATTTTCATTTTTTTAAAGACAAGAAAGATAAAAATAAATATATATTTCAAGGTTAAAAGTTTTTTTTTTAAATAATGTTGTATTGAAAACATCGTTTATAACAGTTTTAGAGCCATAGTTTTCATAAAATTACTTTTACATCGCTTTTCATAATTACGGCCACATTGACGCGGGAAAATTTATGAAAAGCGGGAAAGCGCTGTTCTACAGAGAGGCACAAGTTTTGCAACGTCACAGATATGAAACGTCAAGAAACTTTTGGCGCGACAAAGCAAGAAAAAATGATCTCCTGGTCACCGCTATTGTGAATGCCGGTCGCGTAGAAAAAACAACTTTATAAATCAATATGAGAAAAAAAAACGCCAAAAAGACGACGTCAAAAGTATTTGGTACTGGCGACGTCAAATTGTCATTGCCCATTGGCAACGTCGAAACGTTGATTTTTTTAATGTGGCATCAAGAGGGTTAAAAAAACAGTATGGAATTGCAGGAAGGAAAGGAAGATTTTGTTGACGAAGGATTTGTTATAACAAACGAACGGAAAAAAAAGTTACAAATGATCCAAGTCCGGAACAGTTTTGGGCAGTTCAGGATGAAGTTTTGGCAATATGCAAGGTAAAATTAATCAAACAAATCGTGGGGAGCAAAAAGAATAAAAGATGCACTTGGACTTCAGATGGGAGAAACAAGTATTAGAAAATATGCTGCAATTTTTTTTATATGACAAGGAGTTCAATAGTATATTTTATAGAAGTACAACTGTAACAGAGTTTCATAGAAAGGTCATGTCAAAAGACGAACTTGTAGAAGAAATACAAAAAATTCACAAAACTGATCATAGGAAAAGTGACACAGTGTACGAAACCCTGAGAAAGTCTTTTTTCCCAGTAGTTCGGGAAAATGTTCGTTTGCTTTTTAAGCTAAACGTTAATTGTCAGCAGTGTCTTTCAGCAGTTGATTTTCCAAAAACTCACAGAACAAGAAAACCCATACCAGCAACATACCCCAACAGCAGATGGCAAATGGACCTCAAGAAGATGCCTCCGTCACACGGATATAATTACATCTGTAATATTGTGGATTGTTATAGCAGGTTTGCATTTGGTGGATGCATTAAGCATAAAACAGCAAAAGAAGTGGCTACATTGCTTTTAAGATTTATATACATTTTAAGACCACCAATAATTTTACAAACTGACAACGGAAAGGAGTTCAATAATGAAGACTTAACAGAAGTTATGACAGAATTTAAAACAAGAAAAATAAATGGAAGGCCCTACCACCCCCAATCACAAGGTAATTTACTGCATTTATTATTCATTAACTTCCAGAAAGGCATTATGTTTACTGAATAGATTATGACAGCTTACTTAAAAATAAAAAGATTTATTTACGTCATTTTAAATAAACAAACGAGTTAAATATAAACTTGAAATAATTTTTATTTGACTTGATTTGAAATACATTCACATTACAAATAACATAATTGTCTTTTTATATCAAAAACGTATTTGTGGTAAATGAACATAGGACAAAAATAATGACAAACGAATTAACAAATTAAAGTAGATATTAAATAAATGATGTTTGTGTTGTCGTTTTTACTCATTAATGTCACCTTATGATATAAGTATGCTTTTATTTAAAGGTCGAGTTGAAAGGTTCAACAGAACAGTTGTCGCCTACTTTAGAACAGCTTTTGTTGATAGTCGGGACTGGCCCAATATGTTAGATGAGTTTTATAACAAATACAACAGAAGAGTGAATAAGTCTACCAAACCTTTGACCCTCTTGCTGCCAAAGGGACATTTATGGCTTCTACACACAAATCGGTTCTAAACATGTATGAAATATTTGCCTAATGATGTTTAAAATGGTCTTTTGTAAAATTTTTGTGTTGCTTTAGAAGATCAGGTAAATTATCATTATTATCTTTTTTGTTTTAAATCACTTTAGTTTTTAAGCATTTTGATATGAATTATATACCACATTTGATATATATGTTTTGCACATTTTAAACATCATTAGGTTTATGATAACGTCATGAAGAAAAAGGGTGGTTTTTAAACGTACAGTGGCAATTATTTCATACAAGTTTATAACCGTATTACTTATGAAAAATATTTTTTATTCAAAATGCCTTAACATTTTTATGTTTTCAAATTTAAACAATTTAAACTTTCAATCCGTTAAATATATATTGGTATAAAAATCGTCCAGTAGCAAGTATTTTATACATATTTAGAAATGTATTATTGAGGAAAAATATAATTCATCCAAAAGGCCTTAACATTTTTATCTTTTTAAATTTTAACAATTTACACTTTGGATTCGCTGAAATTGTATGATATAAAAAAAAAACGTCCAGTGGCAAATATTTCATACATGTTTAGAACCGTATCACTTATTTTACATCATACTACTTCAGCGAACCCAAAGTAACTCTCATTTTAATAAAACAAATATTTAAGATAGCCACCTATTTAAATTAACAACTGTGTTTTCAAATATTTGACCTATAAATCTTTTAACTTTTAACATTAGGTACCAATATGCAATTTAACATCAGAAGAAAAATCATTTTTGGATAGTGCACACCTGGATGTAGAAGACAATGTTGAGACGGAAGAATTAACAGTAGAAAATACAGAAGTCAATGAAAATAGTCAGGTATTGTATTCTTGTTTTATTTGTTAAACAACTGCACTCGCGGCTCTTAAATGTGCAAATTAGTTTTTCTCTCTTACAACAACGTTTCATGCCAATGTATAGTTATAAAAAACGGACATTAATTATTTTTACAATATTATTATAACGCATAATGATTACTTAGAAAAACTTCTATATTTGGTCCTTATTTCTTCATGAATAACTAAATCGAGAAACTTTTGAGAGACATTAAAAAGTAGTTTTAAAAGCAAAACATTTTTCATGTTGCAAACTAGGTTAAAATGTGTAAAAGTTTTTAATAAGTATATACATGAATTTGATCGAATATAAAGTTAATGTCTTATATTTTGTCTTTCAGCAAAAACAGCTAGATTTTCCAACAGTAACTAAACAGCATAAATTAAATGGTGAAGTAAACGGTGAAGTTACTATAGTTAACAAGAAAAATACAGAAGATACAATAAATGAGGAACATAGTTTTAGTTTTGAAAGTTCAAAACAAACGGTATGTTGTTTGACAACTGTGCATTTAATATTTTGCTCTCAGGTTTTTTTTTTACGGGAACATATATAACTCTTGTACTCAAGATTGGGTTTTTTACAAAACGATACAAACTAGCTGATTATTTTATGCTTTTAAACCGTTTGTCCATTAGTTTGAGTTATATAGTTTGTGTTTAGAATTTTTTTTTAAAAAACCCAATATTTCTTGGGGAAGAATATTTATGCAAATAAGGCTATTTTGGTCTAGTCGCCATTATATATGTATACAGCATTTTTATACCCCACGCAACGAGTTGCGGAGGGTATAATGATTTTGACCCGTCCGTCCGTCTGTCTGTCCGTCCGTCAGTCCGTCAGTCCGTCAGTCCTGTTTCTTGTCATCGCAACTCCTCTCAAACCACACAACAGAATTTCATGAAACCTTTTCAGATAATAAGGACATACTACGTAGATGTGCATATCGACAGGAAATTACGATTCAATTTTTTTCCAGGAGTTACGCCCCTTTGAACTTATTTGCCCAATATACTACTGCAACCTTTTGTCATCGCAACTCCTCTCAAACCACACAACAGAATTTCACGAAACCTTTTTAGATAATAAGGACATACTATGTAGTTGTGCATATCGACAGGAAATTACGATTCAATTCTTTTTCTAGGAGTTATGCCCCTTTGAACTTATTTACTTTAATGTACTACTGCAACAGTTTGTCATCGCAACTCCTCTCAAACCACACAACAGAATTTCATGAAACCTTTTCAGATAATAAGGACATACTACGTAGATGTGCATATCGACAGGAAATTACGATTCAATTTTTTTCCAGGAGTTACGCCCCTTTGAACTTATTTGCCCAATATACTACTGCAACCTTTTGTCATCGCAACTCCTCTCAAACCACACAACAGAATTTCATGAAACTGTGTAGATAATAAGGACATACTATGTAGATGTGCATATTGACAGGAAATTATGATTCAATTTTTTTTTCTGATACAATTATTTTTTTCTTACACTTATTTTATATTTCCAATGACAATGTGGGGACGTGGGGTATGTGAGCGCGCTCACTAAGGTTCTTTCATTTTAGAAGTAGTACTGCCTTAACATTTAAATAAAGTTTAACAATTACTAAACTATTGAATAAGTTTAAATTTTTTGTAAAAAATGTTTTATCGACGAATATATATAAACCTACCACGAATTTTAACATTGCAATAACTTAATTTTAATAATTTTTCTGTTTTAGTTGTTGCAATGTTTTACTGTTTGAATAAATTCTTTACTACAGGAACAAGTTAAGGACAGCAGCACTACACCACAATCTGCACATACAGATGAGGTATCTATTGTACAAGTACCAGAGTGTGCACATATTGATGAGTTATATCTTGCGCCAGTACAGGAGTGTGCACATAATGATGAGTTATCTTTTACGCCAGTACCAGAGAGACAATTGTCAAATCAGGAGTATATGGAAAATATGTGGAGACAGAAACTAGAAAAGATTGTAAGATTTTTTTCAATTTTTATATATCGTTTTGGTTACATTTTATTTATCTGAAAGTGCATTATCAATTACCAATTTTAATTTAGGTTTAAAACGTCAATTAGTATTGCTTAATATAAGTTATTTTACAACTTCTTTTATAACATTTTGTTTTCTTATTTTTATATCAAATAAATACCAATAAAAACTTATTAAAATTATAGAACTATGCATGTTTTTCTACTGAGTATATATAATTTTTTATATATTTTTTATGTAGCTCCCTGTAGAAAGAAGTAATAATGTTTACAATGCAACACCTTTGGCTGACATTACAAACTCACAGATGGTTCGCAACACTGATATGATGCAGATACTTGATTACTTATTTTTAAATTACGTATCTTTGTTACAGTAATGGGAAAATTTGTTTAAAATTTGTAATAAAAAAAATTTTGGCTTATCTATTTTTATTTAAAGAGAATGTATTAAAGTTTTAACATTTTTTTTGAAATTTAACATTATCATTAAATTTGTCTAGTAGAATACGAAACAATGAGATTTTAGGTACAATAATATATTGGTAACTAAAATTTTATCATTTTCAGACTGAAGTAAGCCCGTATTACCGGGAAATATATGCTAAAAGATTTTTAGCCAATGCAATGCAGACAAATTCTACTGGGGCTTCAAACAAACGGAGATATTCTGATTCCAATATTTACACTGAGGTAAATTTATAAAATACGGTATTATTGTAAGTCCGTTAAATAAGGTAACAAAATAAAAACGAGTTTCACATAGTGTACAATACAAACAGTGTAGTTATTCAGTAAAAGCATACATAAAATGTTTACACACAAAATGCAAAAATTACATAAATTATAAACAAACAGATCAGAATGCATGATAATCTTTCTAAGTAAAAGACCTACATGTATGGATAGCCTTGAGCTGTTTTATGTTTATGCTATTTGGTTGGGTTGTTGTAACTTTGATTTGAATTTTTTAAATTCTATTTAGAATATAGCATCATATAATAAATACAACAAAACATAGCACATTTTCAAGAGAAATTAATAAGTAAAAAAGGCTTGAACGATCTAAAAAGAAGAAAAAAAATTTGCAAAAATATATATGTTGTTAAAATGTCAAGTAATTGTCATTTGTTTTAAGTACTTAATTGCAAGTTATTTTAAAAATAAACTGAAACTAATACATGTAGCGTTAATTTTTTTTTTAACAGAACAGAGAAACATGGGATAGGGAATTGTATCCTGTTGAGTTGTTTCCTAGGAAGTCCCAAGTCATGGAAATGCAAACGTTTAATATATAAAATATAAAACTTATTTGACTTATGAACTTTGGTACCCTTATTTTAATTTCAATGGGATATAGTCAACAAACTTTTAATTATTCGGTAAATACTTCTTTTCATTTTCTTTAATAAACACCTGAATGAAGTCTGCCTCGTAGGAATAAAGAAACAAGTCGACAAGAAGACAGGCACAGCTGATTTCTATAGTTATGCTGATTGAATGTTTATAATCTCGTCCTTCGAACTTATCAAAATATCTTGTCCAATAACGTAAAACACATTGAAGTCAATTGTAGGGAATGTTTTGTTAATGGAAGTGATTGTTTTTACGAAGTATGATTTTTAATTACTAGTACCTAAACAAGATTTTTTTAGCTGCCGTAGATATTCCGTTCATGAAACAAATATGGAGTAATTATTTCTATTTGTCTACAAGTTTATAATGAGATAAGGGTAAGGGTAGAGAAGTCAAATGATTTAGAGAATATCGTCAGTTCCACAGTTTCAGCTATATTCATAAACTGCTACTGAGAATAGCAAATCTTATAATATTTTTCTGAGACATGTTTTTTTAATATTATTTGATCTTGATTTTCTGGCGAATATTCATTGCTGTTCATCACCTTTATGTCAGCATATCGATGTGGATTTCATACAGTTAATTTTCGTGATATAAACAATCTCTTAAAAGAAAAAGAAAAACAAAGGATATCGGGTATCAATCCATGACACAAACTCAGTACATGCACAGGAAAAGATTAGATTATTTTCAAACATGCGTATGTATACTTTTTATTTGGTCGTTTAAATCGCCCCATAACAATTGTTTCTCCGAACATAATTATTCATTGTATTATTTAATATATATTCCATTCAATTCAAATTATTATCATCAAAGATTGTGGCAAATAAAACGAGTGTTGGTTAAATGTGAGACAGTGTGGCCTGGGGTGCTGCAAGGGGACACGGGCCGTATATGGTAGAATGTTTGTGTTTATATCGCACTTCCCTGAAGTGTAACGGCTCACCCCTTATTTTTCAAGCCCGCCGTTTTATTGCTCTTGGGTTCACCACTGTATTATACTACAAACGTAAAATATAATAATTTACTGTAAAAACAAAGATAGCATTTAATGGTGTGTTCATGTTTTTCCAACATTTGATGTTTTTGTAAACAGGTAAATAATTTCTTATTGGAGAAAGGTGATTTTTATGCAATAATTATAGGAAATTTATTTGTGATTAGAGATTTCTATCAGGACGTATTTTTTTATTGGGTGCGCATGGCTGACGTTGCTTCTTTAGTTTGCTGATTCCTCACTCGTAGCTGAAGTGGTTCCAAAGCTGACGGTTATTTGCTTCAACTCAGTACTCGACGAAAGCTGTAGTGTCGATGGTAATATCTTTGGCGTCTTTTAAAGTTTAAGAAAACAATACGTCTCCAACTAGCTCTGCTGGGACCACAGGTAGAACTACTGCACGTCTCACAAGTAGTAGGAGGTCGTAGCTGTCTTTGTAAGCGGTAATGAATCCCACTATCTATTTCTTTCTCCAGATGCATTGAGTATAGTGGGAGAAACAGCGTACCAAGGTGATGTTTGCGAATGATCGTTTGATTGCACGTAATTTCATTTAAAAAACCTGCATGGTCTACACTCGAAAACACGATCTGAACTGGACACTATATACCTACCTTGGATTCAAATGACCATTTTCATAATACCGACTTTTGACTTCGGAATTTTTTTTTTTACTGGTTAAATATTCTGTGGTACCCGGTCGGGTAAAAGCAACGCAAAGGTAAAATCGGTACAACATTGGGGGGAAATTAACTGTATAATGTTTTCTATCCATGACAAAATCATCAGAAAACAGTAAATTGTCCGACCAAATTGCACTGATTATATATTTGATTTTTCTTCTTTTTGTTGTTCTTACTTAGTCGAATGAGTACCAGGATGTGATATAACTTGCCATTGAAAAGCTGCATACATACGCTCTGATCGATATTTTAGCTAGACGCCAATTTTTTCGTAATCGTTTGCATATCTGCTATGCGTATTTGCACTGCAACACTCTTCATTTCCTTGACATGGACAAAGCTCAGTGCAAGGCACATTTTATAACATTTTGATACAGAGATTTACCTTTGAAGGTAACCAGTTATTTATCTTACAATCAACGAGGGCATTTGCTCCGTAAAAAGATGGATTTTTTACCCCGTCGAAGTCTAAAGGAGACTGTTGTGGCGGCTGTGCTATGTATGAGAAAGTCCAAATACTGGTCTGCAGATAATCTCTTACGACATGTTGCTGGAAATTTAATTTACATGGGAGCTAGCATCTTTCTGTTTAGTATTTCTTATTATAAATTGATTAAGATCACCGTGATCTAGTCTGGCCTTCATTTCTTGTCATAGAGTCTTGCATGATGACAAAATATATTCTTGAAAGATGGTCTAAATCAATGAAGTTACCCTTAAACAAAGCACACAGTATTTTTTTATCCATTCTAAACATTAACGATGGGTGTCACAACCTGCAAATACATAAACAATATATGACAGGGCTTAACACATTGTATATTTCATATGCATAGAGGAGTCTATGGCCAACCTTTATTTCTGGCTATTAGCCCTGTTAAAAACTTCAATTCTTGTGTGTTTTTCATTGATCGGAACAAATGCATACATATATTCTGTATATGGAGACCTCGTAACAATACAACCCTTCTTTTTTTCATCTTTGCTGGTTTACAACAAACATCGCATTAAGTTCGAGTATTTGCCTCTTCGTGTGTGCTGAATGAACCAATATTGACAGTCTGCAGAGGAGTCAACACTCAACAAAAATGTGTTAGATAAAGTTCATTCGCATTCAAAGTCAACATAGGTGAATAGGCGTGTTAACAACGGGTTTACAAATAATCACGAACCTTAGGAAGAACTTGTTTATTCGCGTTGACGTTTAAATGTTTCCAGTCTGGTAAGGATTAACCTTCTAATTGGTGAAATGCCATTTCACCAATATCTTGTGGTTGACTTTATAATCAGTTTGCTGTCGTATGTATCAGCGACATTAACAACTATAGCAGCATAGGCAATGTATGATTTATGATTTTGATTAAAATGTATAGCCAAGTCTCTAAAAGTGTTAAATTTCTTAAAATTCAAAAACTGTACCAAGACAATGCCGTCCCTGATACGTACGGTACTGATAACTAGACAAATGAATTTCAAAAGCGATACGATCATCTTATTCAAAAAATCAACTAACGAGCATGACTAGATAATGTCAAAAATCCTGTTAAGCTCTGACAATGTCTGACCTTACCAGAAGGGATACCATTGCAGCAATTAGAACATTAGAGTCCTTGTAAACAGTTTCAGAAGTACACCAACTTGAAGGTGGTTCTTATATCATGAATATACTAAACGAGGAGCAGTTATTCTACTCATCTGCTAGTTCTCTTGGGTCCATTTGAAAACCTTATTATTTCTCCTAAAGATAACCATGGTGTCAATAAAGCTAGCAGAATTTATTACGTTGCTCTGAAGTTTGGCAGACGAATACGTATCAGAAAAATTCTAGGGCAAAATTGATCGGGAGGTGTCGAGGATGTACGACATAAGAACACCCTTCGTATGCAAGAATAAGCCGTCAATAAACAAGTGTAATTAAATACTCAAAGACTTGCAACTCGGATCAACTCTGTCGTATATCAAATCTCTACGAATATCCAAAGCTTCAATTAGATCTTCTTACCGCGCATCGCATGCATATCACTTGCTCTATTGACCTACAGAACATATTTCCCAGCATAAAAATGAGAAGGGCAATCAGTTATGAGTCAAAGAGACAAAAACCCGACCAAAGAACAGAAAGCAGCCGAAGGCCACCAATTGGTCTTCAACATAGCGATAAAATCCCGCACCCGGAGGCGGGCTTCAGCTAGTCCCTAAACAAAAAAGTGTACTAGTTCAGTAAAAGTGAACGTCACACTAAACTCCAAAACATATACAAGACTAACAAAGGCCAGAGGCTCATGACTTTGGAC